CAAATAACATAATTGCATGGTTACTATAAATACAACTTGAATTGTAAAGGAAAAAGTATATATCTCTCACTCTTCAATTTTGGCAGGATATGTTTAATGCATCCCAAATCTGTTACTTTGTAGCAGTTTAAAAACCGTCTCTGTCTAACATTTAAAAGGAAGAACACTAAATAAAAACCGTCTCTGTCTAACATTTAAAAGGAAGAACACTAAATAAAACTAGTGTAGCTGCTGACCTTCAGAGCAGATTGATTCTGATAGATGAAAAAGGCCACAAACCAGGAGCTGTTCATTGGGGAGGGGGGTTGACTCCTCACCTATTGCATATGAGACTTCACCATCTAGTTATAATCAAACATTTTATCTTTGAATTTAAGCAGAAGCTGTTCCCACAGCTTGTATATTTCTTTTACGAATAATAGCAAAAACAAATGCTTGAAATATTTAGAATACAGTACTAGTTATTGCTGTATAAATCAAAAATCTACATTTTAAGCATATAGTCCTGCGTTGGATACAACTCATGTCTGACATGAAAAAAAAAGAAGCCACAAGCAAACAAAAATCAACTACACAACTAACTTTTTCCTATTAGTGCATACTACAGATACAGCTCTCTCATTAAAACTTAGTTACCTTCCCTTGTCTATATGAAATTTTTTTTTCTTCTTCCCAAACTGATATATGAAACTGTTTTTTCAGCTAGTGAGCATGATTCCCCAGTCTGTACCTTTTATGATGTCAGTGTTGCTCGAGAAATTTGTTGCAGCATAGAGAAAACCAGAGCTTATTGTCTTTTTTATATTTTTTCATTCAAAGATTACCACAAATTAACTCACACTGGTAGTCTCAGGGAGAATATTGTCTTTGTTTTATGAATGTATTTTTAAGCTGAATCTCTTTATCTTTTAAAAGCAGGAAAAAATATGTTTGAGTTATTTGAATAAGGTTCTAGTTAGCATATACAAAGGTCTTGAACTTTAATATTTCAACTAAAGCCCTAACTGCATCCTTTTTTTGCTATATGCACAAAGGTAAATACCCAGATGAAGATACTTGCTAATTATAATGAGTTTTATATGTACTATATGTATAAATGAAAAATTTGTATGTTTTCATATAAACAATATAAAAATCTTCTAAATGCACATTTAAARAACTTCTATCTTATAATTCACCTTGAAAACGCCACTGAAAGCTGTATTCTGGAGATGCTGCCATGGATKAAAAATGTATACATCAGATTTTCTGTAGCTGGTGGATTCAACTGTAGGTATATGCAACTTTTTAATTTTAGAAGAAAGCCATATTGGGCAAAATGTCAGATTTCTTGGCTGTTACCCAAAATAAAATTCACTAGATCATTTTGTTACAAYGTTCTGAAATGAGTGTTGTGTGTTTTTTCTTCTATGCTTTGCAAGGGATCAGCCTTTTTCTCCTGTCCTCAACTTCATTTGTGCATTTTTCCRTATGGAGTGAATAACTGAATAAGGCAGCAATTCCTATATTTACTTATTCAGTAAAAGGTGTGCCCATTGGGTTTTTACAAGTAGGCACCTGAATGTTAAGAACACTCAGTTACCAGGTCTGCCRCAGTCAGCAGCTGTACCACTGCCACATCAGTCTCTTCAAACCAAAAACCAACCCAAAACCCCCAAAATTAACCAAAAATAAAATGCCCAACACCCAACCAGAGGAAACGAAGAAAAAATTTATTTTCTACTAAATGGCATTGAGAACCCTGTAAAATATATTCTTGAAGGAAGTTAATATCTGTCTTTGGGSATTAATACAGGAACTATGCCATTGTGTTCCTGATGTTTGCACTTTCTGKTATTCTGGAAAAAGCTAATAGTGCCTGGATTCATGACTTCATAGGCAACCTCAGCCTCAGCTGCCACAAGACACATTTTAGGGTATATTGGAGCCCAAGTTTTACAGCCACATGAACATCCAACCACATTCATACTGCCTGGTCTAAAGTTTTCCCTAACCTGTGAGATCCATGCGCCCCTCTCAGCTCTGGTGCAGCCTTGCTGGCAGTGTCCCCACTGCACACTGTGCCACCACCCTGGCCACAGTATTAATGGGCAGTTCTCGTATTCTCCTGGGACAAACTCAAATTGAGGGCACACATTATGCTCTGTAAAACTGAAAACCAGAGGAGTTTTAAGTCTTTGTTGTCATTATCACACAAAACTATCAGGAGGGACCTGAAAGAAAAATAGTAATACTGGTTTATTAAAAAAAGCCATTATTCCAAGTGGAAAACAGAGACAAACYAGTGTTCTGGGATGAGAGGATGAGAGAGCTTTTCAGGCCAGCACTGTCTCCATCCACTTGTTTGAAACAATTCCTTTTTCCTGTCGYATTTTGTGCCATGATTTCAAATTGTTTCTTACAGATTTTCCAAAGGGCATAATACATTTTTTGATGACTTCTTGTTGAATGAACATTTCTTCATTACTCAACAAAGCACATAGCAGTTACTAGTTATTACTAGATAACAGTAAGTTGATAGTTTTTTTCTCATAGGAATCTCTGATCACAGCCTTTACATACCAACATCCACTACTTGCTCTGTAGTTGTAAAAATCAGCTGCTGCACTGTTTTTCAACTGCTGCTCTGGTTGTTTAGGCTACAAAACACAGTTTGAGGAAGCACACATGGACACCTCCAGGAATTCAGAGAGATGACACCTGTGTAGTAATAATTGTCTCATTAGGAAAGAAAGCAGCCTAGTTTTGTTCCTTGCAAGAAAGCGCTATAAACTGGTTAAAGCTGAYACTGAGAACATAAGCCAGAGACAGGGCTTGTTTACAGTGATCAATATTTTTTAAGTGCAGATCTCAGCAGTGCCATTGCAGCTGTAGTTGTTACATTAGTTACAACAGGACTATTTTATAAAGCAAAATGTATTTTTCTTCTAGAGACCTATTTAGGGGTTAAAACACGTTGTCTGTGTAATGCCCATGAAGCAACCTTAGACTTTCGCTGGAAACACTGTTTCCTTCAGGTGAGGATTTAGGCAACATCTACAGGTACCCTGAAGAAGTTTGTGTTTGCAAACAATGCAGGAGAGGTAAYTGAAGTTTCCATCCACCAGTTCACSAGACAGGAGTCCTRCRCAGAAATCCTCTTCTGATAGTATGTGGAGTAGCAATTCAGAGAAATCTGATTTGTGGTTTGAAACGCTTGTGAAATTCCACACAAACTTTTTTCCTAAACATTCCAAGACAGTCCCTTCTCTGCTGGCCAAACATTGCTCAATGAACTCATGGATAGTAAGATAAGAGGGTCAAGGGGTGAAGTAATCACTGCAGGTTTCTTATTCATTAAGATCACATTTCAATAGGAAGGACTGAGAGGGAAAAAAAGTCAATATGCTGGACATTCAGATTTATTATCTTAGTTTTATTAAGGCGGGTAAAGCAGTTACTTTAGATACTGAAGCCATACATCATAACTTGATAACAAGCATCTAAAGGATATTTTTTTCTGTTTGAAAATGTTGCTTTCCCCCTTCGCCAACTGTAAAATTTTGTATTAGAACATAAATTGTATAATTTTTTTTTTTTTTTTATTATGCAACTATTGGTGTTATTGTGGTACAGAGATCTTACACGGATGGTGTTTTTTGGTTTTATTGCCTATTCAAAATACATCAGTAGTAAAGGCCAACCATAAGAGGTCCTGGGAGTGAGAAGCTCAATGGAGAAAAGTTTTAAAATCCCTCAGCACCTGGAAGTTATGGGGACATTAAGCTATGCTGTGTTGCAAAACTTGAATGGATATATGAAAAAGATATTCAAACACCTTTTCAGAGTACCAAGAAAATACACAAGCAAATCAGAAGACTCTACTTATACTAAATTTACTGAGGACAGAATTCAAGCATGCAAGCACAGCACTTGGTAGAAGTCTGCATGCACATATGCTGCAAAGTGACTGGAGGAAATAGGCATACTGCTGGAGAAACTCCTTATGCCTGGAACACTATTTTGGTACAGAATTAGCTAAAACCCAAAACATTTCAAATAGTTGTGGAGCATGTCCAACTGGGTTGTGATGCACAGGGAAAAAATACAGACACGAAACCATTCAAAACACCATACTGTAAATTCTAGGCAAAAGCGAAAGCATTAAGAATAAAATCCCCAGACTCCTCAGACTCTGCTATGTCTTCATGAAGAAGGAGGAAGTGGCTGGTTTGTCGTGCAGCGCACTCTAAAGAAGCCARATTTAGACTTCGAGGCGCGTTCAACTTTAAGGAAACAGCTTCAGGTGTCTTGGGGCTACCCCTGGCCACAACCCGCTTTGCCCCGGGGTGCAGAGTGCCGCACCCCTGCAAGGAGAACCYGCATGGGGATCTTTTGTTCCCGAGGCCGAGCAGCTGGAGTGTCCCCCGTGCCCACGGAGCGCTCTCGAGCCGGGCCCGCCGCCCCTCGCCTGTCCCAGGGATGCCGGTTCTCCCGCGGGAAGAGCCCCCGCATCCCGCCCGGTCCGGCCGCTCTCCGCCCCGCTCGGGGCCCGTCGGGGGCGGGGACGGGGCCGCTCCTCCCGCCGGGTGAGGGAGAGGCGGGAGCGGAGCAGCCCTGCTGCAGGTACGGAGCGCTGCCCGCCTCGCCTGGCGGCTCCGGTGCTGATGCCGGCGGCGCGGCGGGACAGGGAGGGACATGCCTGAGGGAGGAACATGCCTGAGGGAGGAACATGCCTGTGGCAGCGCCCGCCTGGCCGCCTGCAAAACTCGCCGTGCTGGCGGTGGCAGGGCCGGGAAAGGCGCTGCTCCTGCCGCCTGCCCTCATCGCCACCACAGCGAGCACAGCGAGGGAAGGGCCAACCGCGCGGGTTCGCTTTTCCCATCAGCGGGAGGAGCGCCCCGCCCSCTCCCCGCCCACCCCGGCGGAGGCGGCACCGGCTGCGGGGGCGGGGCGGGCTGGSTTGGCGGGAGCCGGCGCTGAGGGGCGGCTCGGCCCGGCCGTGGTTCCTGTGCGGTCCCTGTGCCGGGCAGCGGCGGGGCGGAGGTGCCGCTGGAACGAGKTGTCCCTGCCCGAGCTCCTGCGCCGCGCCCCGCCTCGCCTGGCTCCGCCATGGGCTTTTCCTAGGGAAAGACAAAGTTTCCCRCCCGGCCCCTGCCCGTACCGGGAAGCGCCGCCGTGTGACCGCTTCCCCTCGCCTTACCCCGGCAGGGACGGACAGCATGGTGCTGAGCGCGGACCAGGTGARCCTCATCGGGCAGGTGTTCGAGTCCTACGTGCTGGAGCACCACCGGGACGACATCCTGGGCATCCTGAGGGAGGCGGACGAGCAGGCGCACTACCCCGTCGTCGTCGACGCCTTGACGCTCTTTGAGACCAACATGGAGATCGGGGATTACTTCAACGCCTTCCCCAGCGAGGTGCTGCCGATTTTCGACAGCGCGCTGAGGCGGGCGGCGCTGGCAGCACTGCAGGACAGCACAGACCAGGATCAGCTCAGCCTGAAGCAGAACCTCCACGCCAGAGTCTCGGGTGAGTGATGGCTTAGGGGCTGGGCGATCTGCATGTCCCAGCCAGGACTGCCAACACTTCCTTACTCTGCAGGGAGAAACTGGCAGTACCGCGGAAATTTCCTTACTCTCTAACAAACTATTGGAGCGTCACGGAATGAACAAGTTTCATTCTTGCTGTTTTGGTATTTGAAGCAGTAGGGAATCSTTAGTGTTTATTAAGCAGCAGCGGACACGTGCAAACACACAGAGGTGTGTAGACACCTACAAAAAAAAAGCCAAACCTGTGACCATCCTCACTGGTCTGCGTGCAATGGTTGGGTGTCTCTTGCTGGGTCAGGGGTCATGCCAAAGCCTTTCCAGGGCAAAGACTGCTCAAATTAATGGCTGGTCTTACATTATTTCACTTCTAGACAGAAGGTCTAGAGAGAAGAAAAAAAGAGAAAAAGGGTGTAGGAAAAGTTTTAGGGGAACATAAGAAGTTTCTAAGTTTTACAGCAGATTACCTTCCCTACTGTGCCARTTCTATCACAGGTCTTATTGGCTTCAGCCATCTTCCGAAAGAGGCTAAGTCTAAGTTTTGAGATGTACCAATGCCATCCAAAACTGTAGACTTTTATGCTTAACTGTCATAAAATTTCTTGTCGTAAAATTGGAATGAACTGTTGGAAGATGTGTTCATTAATGGAGGATTTAGTATTTTTTTCACTGCAAGATGATATATCATTATTCCTTATTATTAGGAAATTTTTRGTACCTTTGAGGTTTGATGGAGTGMAGGTTCTGGGTTTTTGCCTGTTGTGGGAAACTGGGTCAGCAGTGGCACCATCCCTTCTGGACATTTCTGATCGTAACAATTTGGAGCAATARTCTGCAAAGCCAAGAGCTGGCAGCCTGTGTTTCCCTCCCCTCCCCTGTCGTGGAGTGGCTTATGATCATTTAGTCTTTTAGCAGCTTGAATTTGGGTAACTCTCAGTTGTTAAACAGGCCTGTGTTTCATCTCAGTGAGTTTCCATAAAAGTGTTGTAATGACAACACATCCATCAGAAATACATTTAGYCTGTGGTATTCAGGTGCTGAGGGTCTGCTGACTGTGTGGGGTTAAAGGATGCCCTCTGTGTTGTACTGAAGCCTGACCTCAGGCACCTCCCTGAACCTATGAAAGCAGGAATGAATTAAAACTTTCTCTTGGCGTTCTGAGATGCATTTACATCATTCAGAGCTTCAACATCCAAAAAAAAGAGACTTCAAGTATGATTATTTGAAAAGCTGCCAGGAAGTATCAGAAGGAATACAGCRAGGGGAGATGATCTCTGCATGAGTAGTGGTGTCCTTAAGACATTCCTTTTCCTCTTATCAGCCTGTTGCTGGRGCTGATCATTCCTCCACAGTGATGTTTTGTCTAAATATTCCCCTAACAACCTCCAGCAAAATTAGCCCCCTTGATCAAATTATTTTAAAAACTGATAAAAGCAAGACTGACAGATCATTGTTAGAARAAGTTAGTCAGCAGACTCACAAATAACTCTGTCCCCAAGCTGGAGAGAAATTGGTGAAGAACAGGGCAAGTTATCCTTGAGAGGTCCAGCTGGATCCAGATAACATCTGTCCATGGAGTTKGGTTAATGTTCTGTACCACTGAAAGGCTCACTACAGAAAAAAGAAAAGAAATAACCTAAATTATCTATAGCCTTTTTTTCCACCAAATATTCCCATGATACTGTTACCTTTTATGTGGATGCTGGGTTCTGATTACCTTCAGGATYCTAATCTTGGAGTGCTACTTCCCATTCCCGCATCAGGTGAGGAGGGATTGAGAAGGTGTTGCGCTTTCTTGGTGGGAGCAGCGGGAAAGTACGGGGAGTGTGGGTGATGGGATCTGCATGCCAGGCTTGGAATGAAGTGAAGCAATCTCAACACAYTCCTACCAATATGGACAGGGCATCTTGGAGTTCAGAAAAGGATTTGGGGGGTGTGAATATGCAGTAATTAATAATGGATTATTACCCTGAGTTCACTGAAGAAAGTAGAAGATAAAGTTCTTTATCTGAATTTCAGCACTGTAAGAATTTGATTGTATAACTTCTACTTTTTACTGCAAATCCATGAAATTATTTTTCCWTACTTGCCATTAGCCTGAGCACCACTGTGCTGTGTGTGTTAGTGAAGGCCAAGCTGCTTCTGATTGTTTCTAATAGCTTTTTTRTGACTAATGCATTCAAAGATACACATACTCAATTAAAGAGTTTGTCAAGCAGTCTARTATGATCAGAATGAAAGCACTTTTTAAACATTCTTGTCTCTTCAAAATTCAGAGATGATCATCATATATCCTGACAACAGTGCTGCAGCTCTCTCTAGTGTAAGATGTGATGTATTTTGCAAAGCTTATTCAGCGGTACAAATACTGAACTGAGAAAAAATGCCAAAACAGGTGGAGAGCTAACGGATTTTTTTTTTTCCCTGAACTGACTAGAAATGCAAATCTGTGGTAGAATGAAAATTTCAACAGGCTTGGTAGAATATTTAAATAGCTTTATTAGAGTCAAACAGAAAAMATTGTTTGCCACTTTACCAAAACCACTTTCTTTTCTTAATTATTTAATTACTTTCTTCTTTATTTTTTTCTACTTTATTCTTTTACCCTTAAAAATTAGTTTAATAGTTAAAAATATTTTCTTTAAACAAAAGCAGAAGGTCAAGTGTTGCTTAAAAACAACAAACCAGAATGTTTCYGCATGTCTGAAATAAAGCATTTGGGCTTGAAAACACTGAAACAAATATGACTATTTTTTTTTTAGCAGCCAAAGCTACTAAGAAGATTTGACCTAAATGCACAGATAGTTCCAGTCCCTGTAGTAACCTCATTTCCTGGCAGATTTGTAATTTTACATCTCTGTTTCCTAGCTCTATTTTGGAAGTAGAGCTAAGAAATCAATTTAAATTTATTATTATTAGTAACTTGTGGTTCATTACTAATTTCTGAATAGGCAATATTTTTGCTCAGGTGTGCATCTGAGAGACCATTTATTTTTATAAAGACTTTGTASGTTGTTGAGATTGATTAATCTTCCTGAGGATTTCAGCCATTGTGGTGCCAGATGATGGGTGAACACTGGAGCGGGATCAGCACAGGACTGAACTGGCTGCTGGGGTGGAATTAAAGGAGAGCAAGTGGAAAGTGACTTGTCACTATGCATTTGAATGTACAAGTGAATTTGCTTTGGTTGTGCTCATAACCCCTTTACATTCTTTTTATGCTGTCTTCCTTGTGCTCGAGGTTTTCTGGTGTGCAGTGTGGATTTAAGGTCAAATGCTCTCYGACTGTGAATTTGCTTAGACTTGAGAATTCACACAAGATCAGGAGCTATACCTGTTTAAATGCAGAAAGAACACCAAACCACCATTATGTAGCATAACTAAAAATTTGTAGTTCAGATAAACCAGTTAAAGAATAAATGGCATSTGCAAAAAGAACATCTAAATTAATAAATAGGTATGATAACATTGGGMTCTTTTTCCATGAATGGAAACTGTTCATGATAATTCACCCTTGGCAAGAGTGATARAATGAAATGGCAACATTTTCAGTTAGGGCTCATTGTCTGATGCTTTTTACTGTCTGAGGCCAGTGAATCAGATTTATGRTGCAGSAGATGAATAGTTAAATCAYRTTTATGAAACAGTAATAACAAAGGCTACTGTTGGTGTGTCCTGCATGTTTTCTACTCTTTCCATTTAACTACATTTTAAGTCCTTGTTTTATAAGCATAGCCTTATGCTACACGTATTTTTGTCTAATAGGTTTGCCTGTTTGTCCAGAGCTGACTCGAGAGCACATCCCTAAATCCAAGGATGTGGGGCACTTTTTGTCTGTTACTGGGACTGTCATACGTACCAGTTCGGTGAAGGTTTTGGAGTTTGAACGGAGTTACATCTGCAACAAGTGCAAGCACGTGTTTGTTGTCAAGGCTGACTTTGAGCAGTACTATGCATTCTGCCGTCCATCAGCCTGTCTCAATGAAGAAGGCTGCAACTCAACCAAGTTCATGTGTCTCTCTGGAACAACCTCCTCTCCTACCTGTTGCAGGGACTATCAAGAAATCAAAATTCAGGAACAGGTAAGGAAAAAAAGCCCAACAATGGATAAAAAGGATAAGGTATTAAAGTACATCTATCTCAAGTACAARAAGAATTAAGTTTTGAAAGAAGACATTTGGAGCCTAATTTCCTGTTGAAATAAGGCAAGTTTTACTTGCTAGTTTTACTATTCATGCTTATGTTAGAATTAAGAATATCCCATTTTCATTGTTTCATTCCTCAGTGAGGTAAGTGGAAAAGTTTTACAGATTCTACTGTTGTTTAAAACAAATGCCCGAGAAGACTCAAAGAAGCCAGGCAACCCATTGGTCAGAGATTTCCAGTCAAAGAGTTATAAATTAAGCCAACATGTAGATCAGACTTCTGTTATTGGGTAACTCCATTCGATATTGTACAAAAAATGCCTGGGGTCAGTGCAAAGATAAAATTTCCRTGTAGGAAATTCCATTCCGTGTTGAACCCTTACAACACCAAGCGTGCACTGTTTCTCTGAACACTTCCTGTACATGATGCTGATGTTCAACACTGCTTCTGAGGACCAAAGCTAGCCCAGTGTTGRCCATGATCAGCTATAGCTGTGTGGTGTGGTCAAAACATGGTGTCTGCAAATGTCTCTTCCCTTCATCTAATATTGAATTCAATGATTACTGCATATGTGATTCTTACAGAACTTGCATACAGCATCTTCATGTGTTTTCTGATGATAGCTGTGAGTGGAAGTACAGCTGAGGTGGAGGAGAAATGGATCAAATTAGAAATTAAGGTCTTAAAAGTTTAGAATATCAAAAAAGTAAGGCAATATAATATATAATATCCGAGGAGATAAACCTTATGTTGCATGTTCATATAATGGGAGATAAACCAAATTTTGCATGCTCAAAGAATGATTCTTTCTGACATATGGGAAGTGTCTATAACTTATTTTTTATTCTACTGTGTGACACACAGATCTCTGTAGTAGGAAGGATTTTCAGCAACATGGGCTTATTAAAAACAGTAAAGTTAAACTAGGACTGAATTTCCCTTGCATTTCCTACTGAGCTCTGGAAATAACTGTGTGTGTGCCACCGGTACTGACAGTGATGTGAACTGCCTGTGGCCATTTAGATAATACACAAGGGTGAATTAACCTTCCTAGGCACCAGAGGGTGAATATATTTAGAATTCTAGCATGTATGACCTGTGCTGCAGAATGAAAAGGTATTTCTGATGTTGTTCTTGTGTAGTGGATACTCCCAAAACTTTTGCAAGCTCTAAGTGTAAATGAAAAGATTGCTGGTTGGAAATAGACTGTGACAAGAGTACACAGACTTTGCCCTGGAGAAAAGAAAAAGAATTACAAGAGTTGCTGGCACATTTGTCAATATATATTTAGGTTTTTTCTGTTTTTGATTTAATCCTTGACACCTAAGTGAAAATTTAAACCGTCAAATTACTGTTAAATGGCAGAAAAATACAGAGAATATTCTCTGAATATGTACTTCAGGGAGGGTTATCTAACCCATGTACATGTTTCAATGTCCAAAGTAAATTTTGCATATTGAAGAAGTATCTAGTACTAGATATCTAGTATCTAGTACTAACTTGAGTTTTAGTTAAAAAAATCACCTCTTTCAAATGACCTCTTTTAGTGAGCTTTCTTCAGCAAAATATTGAAATCAYACAACATCTCCCAGCACTGAGCACCTTGTGCTAATTTAATACCCAATCCCATTTCCATTAATATCAGCATTAAACTTTCATTGTTAAGTTCAGGGCAGCAGTGTGGCATCCTTTCTGTAAGTTTTTTGATAAAAASCCAGAACTGACCTCAGTTCCCAGAAAGGACTGTAGGTCCTTAAGCCAGAGCAGCTGTAAATTAAAGGCTTTCGAAAGGTGCTGTTCTCAAGAAATGCTTTTCCTTCCCATCTCCTAGGTTCAGAGGCTGTCTGTTGGAAGCATCCCTCGTTGCATGATAGTTGTTCTGGAAGATGACTTGGTGGACAGTTGCAAGTCTGGTGAGGATGCAGCATAAATCACATGTGTTTGTACCACWAGCRTTTTTAGWTTTTCATTTGAGATGAATCTCTGTYGCGTGGCTGTCAGTGCTGGGGGCTCCCTGAAAGAGKTGTGTTCATCTGTCACATTGCTGTTTCAGGCTGAACGTTAGCATGGCAGCTGAAGATCATTCTAGAAAATGTCATRCACCCCCAGGTTACATCTTGACTGTCTGACAGATCAGTTTCAATAAGTAATGTGTTGTGACATACAGAAAGTTTACTAAATCTTGTTAGTGTAGAACACCAAACCTCTCCGGGAGATTGGTTCACACAGCATGAGGTGCCCCTCCATGGGTTCACAGAGCCAGRTAACCTGACCTCTTATCTAAGGAGTGCTGCAGGTAGAAAAAGCTACTTGGCATTCAAAGAAGGAACTAATTGGCAGGAGGATGAATGACGAATGGACTAGAAATTCTCAGATAGGCACATTTCCACAAGAAATTGATTTGTGGTTGTACTTTCGCAGAACACTCTACCCAGAATGTTAACAAGTAACTCTGCGGTTCATCACAAAAGTTACCAGAGGCCAAATAAGTTCTGACTAATTTTTTGTTGTATAACCTAATTGAAAGAGCTTCTACGTGAAGAGCTTCTAATTCCTCTCTTCTGAAAGAGGAAACATGCAGAGGTATATCTTTATGAAATCACSTCCCTTAACAGAAGTGAAGAGAGACAACAACTTGCTACCACAGACTTAAGCAATCTACCTTATCTTTGTTTTAGACTTCCAGTTACTGCAGGAGGTTTTGCTTTTTGTTGTTAGATTTTTTTTAACCTTACTAACTGTAACACCGGATCGAGATCACATTATTATGCTTTACAGCTAACTGAAGTTTCTGCATGTCTCAAGGCTCATGTTTGTTGTTACCTCTAGGAGATGACATCACRGTGTATGGAGTGGTAATGCAGAGGTGGAAACCTTTCCATGAGGGTGCACGCTGTGACTTGGAGCTTGTTTTAAAAGCCAACTATGTTAAAGTGAACAATGAGCAGCTAGCAGGRGTTGTAATTGATGAAGAAGTTCGCAAGGAATTTGAAGACTTCTGGGAAAGGCATAGGAACGATCCCTTAGCAGGTTAGTAGTTGAAAGCTTTTAAGTAGGGCACTTGATTGGATAGAGATGAAATCAGGAGTGAAAATACAGTGACTGAACACATTTTCCCCCCATTATGCTATTCCACCACCCATTCATCAAGAATATATTTTTCCACTACAGGAATATGAAATTATTTAATATTACTGGGGTGAGGACAGGAGGAAGTACCAAACCTACTGCACTGATCTTTCTTTTTAGCTTTCTATTAAAGTTTTTTTTTTGAACATTTATTAACAGGAAATGAGAAATAATATAAGTAGCAGGGAAAAAATGAGTGTTTTATAAACAAGAAAGAAGAAGCATACTTCTTAGAAGAAATAGTGTGGACCAGATCTGMCTTTAGTCAGCACAGCTGTTGCCTCTGGTGCCAGAGATCTGACACAGTGTCCCTGCACCCCAAATAAAGCTCTGAATCTTTACCATAGGGCTTTGCACATCCTGTCTTTAACATAACTCTTGAATGCCTAGACCCTTGATTTAGGTGGAGTGGAGCCTACCAGGTCACAAGTGGCTTCCAGAGCAATCCATGTTCAGTATGCTGGCTCCTGAACTTACCATGGTCTGCAGTCAAACACCTTGGAATTACAAGGCTGGAAGTCAGTCTCTCTCCATAATCTGAGTGCCTTCTCCTGAACTCTGCAGAAGCTTAATGTACTCTTTAGAGTCTCCATCACTGAACTTTATTAGGCTGATGCTCTATCTTGTWAAACTCTGGAAAGGGCTTAGTCTTTCTTCTTTAAAGACAGACRGGAGGAAAAACAGGTGGGAACCTTCCCCAAAATAGCCCACTCACATAAGTGTAGAGCCTGCCAATGTCAAAGATTCTTCAGAGCTGCATYTCTGGGAAAGCAATTTAATTGCTAKCTTCCTGCTGTTTGGACTGATAACATTTCTTCCTTCTGCTATTTGGAACAAGAATATTTCTTACCACTCTGGTTAGAACTGTTCAGAAAGTAATTCAGGATCTTTTTTGAAGGTCCCTTTCAATCTTTCATTTTCAGGGCAATTTTTGGAAGTCTGTAGGAAGCAATGTGATTTTATCCARTGCTACCCATTCTGAATAAATATATACGAAGAGGCGACAAGAAAATTGAGGTGGAAATCAGAAGAACCCTCRCTGCCCAAGATGTCTGTTTCAGGCCATTTGTCTGAATTTGAGTTGAAATTGAGGGCTGTGTACCTGTACTGTTTTTCAAGAGAGTAACTACTGCTGCATTTTATATCAGTCACTTAATGAGACTAACTCCTAACTGTGGAGTTAAATCTTGATCTGTGCTATGGCTGACCAAAGTTTTTWAAATTTCACTTTTAGATGGACAAAGATGTGTTAATTCCTTCAGAATACSTCCAAAAGAACCATATATGCCTCAAGTCATAAATTGGATGCCTATATTTTGCCAGTACCATATACTTGAATCTAAACTTAAAACTGAAGTTAAGCTCTGAAAATGGGTCATTCTTTGTTTCCCTAGCAATGGAAGTAACACATGGCATATAACCAAGTTTTAACTCTGCTGAAAGCCATGTTTGCTCCTGTTTTAGGGAGGAATGAAATTTTGGCTAGCTTATGTCCTCAAGTTTTTGGATTGTACCTGGTGAAGCTGGCTGTAGCCATGGTGCTTGCTGGTGGTGTACAGAGGACTGATGCTGCTGGAACTCGAACCAGAGGTTTGTATTGTTTCTAACAGTGTCACCTCCTAACAKTCATTCCCATCCCTATGTTCACCCACATTCCCCCCGCCTCCAAAATCAAACCAGGAAGATCTTGGAAGCATAAYCATCCCATTTTCTTGAATAAGAACAAGTTTTAATTAATTCCAAGTATACTTCCAAAATCTCAGACAAGTTAAAGTGGGTGTCTAGACTTCTTCCTTTTATTTTAATTTTTTCCCAAATAAAACACAACAGAAGCAGACTTTCAGGTTTCCATTCAGTAGAATATTAAAGGCAGCTGCTTTATCTAAAACATAAACGCCATATGTGACATTTTGAAATTATTTCTAGTAGAATATTCCCAGCAGTATTTGGCATCAAAGGGTGGAATCTTAATGTTTCCTTAATGTGGATCACTATAGTACACTGAAAGGAAAAATTAAAGGATTCATTTTACTTCCTAATGCCAGACTTTTCCATCTGTGATTGTCAGCACATCTCACTTAGTCCTGTAACTCCCAAGTTACCTGCCTGCTGATTCTCCTTCTGTTGTTATTAGGTGGCAAATATGCCATGTGCCAGGTGGTACACAGGTCATAATCTATGTAGGTCATAATAGTTTGAAATAGTATGTCTTTGTATTTACAGGATTTTCTTAAGGCTGCAACTGCTAAATAAAATTATAGACTTTACATTTGAATTAAAGTTATATTTTGTAGATAACAGTTAAATCATTTTAAAACACTTAACTGAGATTGTAGCAGCCAAATTATTTATGTCTGTAATTTCATTGTTTTGAAATTACAAAGTTGTGAAACTATTGGCAAAGAATTAATTAGTAAAACACCCTGCTGATTTTATGATTGACTAATAATAAAAAATTATTTTGCAATAACTTAAATAACTGAATGGTGGAATGATAGCCTGGTATCCTTCTGTTTCATGTTCAACAGTGAGTTGAGTCTGAGAAATGAGCATTCTAAAATGTAAGGACTCATATTGCAAGAAGTGTGTAAAATATCTGCTAATACTTCACAAATATTTCATTGTAAATATTTGTGTCTAGATGACTTTCTTAAACAATATATTTATCACACCCAATAAATAGTGCAGAACTACATATTTTAATGTATATATAGTGCTAAATTTTAGGTGAATAATGACAAGTATTATTTCATCTGAGCACTTTGTGTCCATGTTTCTCTGTATATGAACTGTCTSCTCCTACATCCCTGTTTTCCCCCAAGGTGAATCACATCTTCTATTGGTTGGAGACCCAGGTACAGGGAAATCTCAGTTCCTTAAGTATGCAGTTAAGATTATGCCACGCTCTGTGCTTACAGCAGGAATTGGATCTACAAGTGCAGGTATGTGCTTCTTCAGCTGGAACAGTTTACCTTTTCACACGATTATGTTTATATAGAAGTCTTCTACTTATATGAACATATATGCTTAGGTTGCATGAGCACAGCTGAAGCAGAGAATTTATATGCTGTGGAGGCATATGAGGCCTGATCTGACACTCTGCAGTCCTGCCCCTTTGTCTGTATCCAAGGAGGATTGTGATGAGCTTCTAGCAGGGAACCTTGTAAGCCTTATCCAGAGGCACCTCTCACTACTTTGCTAGCAGAGGATGATCTGGACCTATATTTTTAGTATTTGCCAGCTATGACAAATATGACATCTTTCCAGAGCTCGCTACGTAATGGGCTAGCATCATTTGGTTTCTGTGAACAGATAATCTCTCTTCTGTTCTTTCATGTGTTCTGTCTGGGTGCCAGTTTGATTTCTGTTTGCTTTCTGGAAATTCACTCTTGTGTTGAGGAATTACTTCTCATGAAGTAAAACCACTAATGAAGATGATTTTAAGATGGTTTCAGAGAGCAAGTGGGTTTTTTTTCCTATTTTCCTCTTCCTTTCTTTTGTTAAATTTAGTTACATCCCAGCTGGCTCTGAATGCCAGGCACCTCTGCAAACTCTTCTGGGGACAGTGGGCAGGGTCAGATTACCTCTGCCAATTACTTTATTTGAACAAATGAATATAGTCCTTGTACATTCAAATTCATAAAATAATTAGGGTCAATTCCCAGTGTCTTACCTAGCATGTGTAACTTGGATATTTCTCAGAGAGTGCTCCTTATCACTTGAATCTGGGAAACAGCATTATTTGTACATGGGAGAACCGGAGAATAAATCTTACCCAGTTCCATAGCTATGTCTGTACTTCCATGGCTGTGGAAGTGGAACTCTGTACTGAACACACACACCCCTGTGTGCAGGAAACACATATGCCTCTGATTTTCCATTCAAACTGTTAACAAATATGTCTGGAGAGAAACCAGAGAGAAAATTTTGGTTTAGGATAAACTTTTCTCCACTTTTTGTTCTGTGTTAAGAATTGAGAACAGATTAATTTCAGATTTGCTGGGGGACTTGCAGCAACCTGGATTGAAATTTTGCCAATATTTCAATGTGACTTTGCTCATTTTTGTAAGTAGAAACCTGTGTCAGTTGCTCTCAGACTCTGATGTTGCTGTTGCCTTCTTCACCACATCTCCCTCCCATGCTTCACTTTCCATGTGACCTGATTTCCAGCCCAGCTATCATAGCTAGGTTCCAAGACATTTCTCTGAAAACAAGTATTGCAGTTTATAAGTTTATTGCGGTATACGTGCACTAATAATGTGTGGAGATGAAGTCTCATTAAAGGATTTTCTTGGGCCTTTAGATCATTTGCATTTCATCTAGATATTCCTTATATTTKAAAAAACTTCTCTCCCGTCTCCTTCTCCAAAATCGGACAGCAGGTGCACCCAATTTCTGCTTTAGCATTCTTCAGKACCCTTATCACAAGTGAAACTTGAGTGCCTAGCAAGGAATCTTATTAACCCAAGTTTAACATCAGGGACCTTTCCATGGCTAGAACTGCTGGACTAAGGTATTCATTTCTAGATCAGGAATTTGGATGTTGTTTGAATTATTTTCTTTGCCTTTCCTGTACAAGGAGTGTCTTAGTTATGCATCTACTTGTAGCTGGCTGTACCTASCATTGATTTTTGTCAACTTGCCATCTGTGCAGAATCAGTTGGGAGAATGTTAAATTGCTTTACTTTCCTTGTCATAATTGAACACCTTGGATTGCCAGTTTCTCCTTTCTCATGAGAGGACAGTTCTAGTGCACATTTTTTTTCTTCCATAAGTATTAAATTCCTCCAAATATTAAATCTCTAAGTTTCACTTTCAACTATCTCTTTACACTATATGAAAAGCAGTCTGAATTTCATTTAATTGCTGGCTCTGGGATTACAGTCCACATAGGTCAAAAGACACACCTGAGACTGGGTAAATCCTGAAGAACTCCTGAAAGCTGGATGACTCTTTAAGAGAGAACTGCTGATAGCTAACAGCCTTTGGTAGGACTCTGTGCATTGACATATCTCGTGCCCTTTATCCATCTGGTACTGTTTTAGGACACAGGCTATTTAACAAACATTGGACTAGAATTCTGCATCCCAAACTGTAATACCAGTTTTACTTGGTTTTCTGTACAAGCATTTCCTTGTACCAGGACAGCRTATTAGGTCATTGACATTCTCCTTTTGCCAAAATTCCCTTTCTTTCCTGGTCTGCCTTTGGTATTGTGCTCAGGGATCTGCTATGATACTTTGTGCCCCTGCAATATCATGTGCCTGTTGCAGCCCATTAACCTGTACTGACGTGACTGAAATTGCCCTGCAGAATTTCAGAAAACAGTGACCTAACTCCTGCAGCTTTATTTGSTCTTGGGCCTCTGCTCTTTCAGTCAGGTTCCTTCCTTCCCCTGTACTTTCTGAACAAAGTCTGTGCTGTTTTACCTGATTCAGAAAGTGTGATCCAGGAGAAAAGCCTTCTTCTTGCTGAAGGTATGAAAGACTTTCATCTATCTCACCAACAGGTTCAAGTTGCCTGCTTGCTGCAAACAGCCCTTAAAAATGACAGATAATCTGTTCTCTGCTTTGAAAAAAAAATAAAACCCAGAACTTTATCTCCACTCRGGGAATAAGTTTCTGAGTTTACTGGTTTTATTAAGTGGCTTTTCTTGCAAACATTTAGCAGAAATTTTCTGTTGCGAATTCTCTAGTTTAGAACTTCTATGAAGAACCAGGGTTTGTTCCTCCCACATCTCTTTAATGTCATTTGGCAAGTAGACCAGCCCACATGCAACACCTGAACAGCAGAAATTTATTTGACCACTGTAGGACTTTGTGATCTGTAAATGAAAGATGGGGGAACCATCTGTCCCACTGTTTCATTCTTTCCACAGTTTTTTTAAAGCCCCAGTTCATTCTCCCTGACTTGTCTCTTATCTGAGAATTGCAGGGAGTCATTCAGCTACATTTTATTTTTAGAAATTGATATATAGTTTTCYGTAAAGACAGAGACTTAGTGAGGCTTAACAAGATCTCTCTGGGAGTTCTCACCTTACTACTGCATTTCATAGACTGTTTYGCAGTCCCCAGAGCCACAGTGCCACTTACGCATATTTGGGATGAGATAATCACTAGTAAGAAAATATTTAATTTACCTCTGGAGCTGAAGATCAACAGTGATGAAGTGGCATCAACTCCATAGGGACAGGAACAACACATGCCAGCTGCTGGCAGGTCTAGAGCTCATGGACATCCAGGCCAGAGTCATTCTGCTGCTTGCTGGCTCATATTTGACTCTTCACATTTCTGAAAGTTTTGTTTGGTGTTGCATCCCTCCACAGATGGACTGCTTAAAGAATTTTGTGAACTKTATTTAGAACAGCTTGCCTAAAAATCTGGGAGAAAATCAGCTGTTTCTCCAGCTCTCCAGTTCTGTATAACATGCCTTTCTGAGCTGTGTGACATACAGCCTTCTGGCCTTTCCTTTTAAAGCCTCTGCASAGCCTTGCAAGTGCTGCCTTTTTGCTGGTATTTTGCCATGTCTAACATTGTCCATATCATGCCAACAACAGTTTGGTACCAATTTTCCTTCTTTTCATTGAAGGGAACTGACTCAAGGGGAAACCGCCTTTTTCCTTCATAGCAAGCCTCCTTTGCTCAGCAGTCTTCAGGTGCTAACAGCTGTCTCTCTTCTGATCCATTAGCAACCAATCCAAAGTCACTGACATGAGCCATCCAGCTGTGGTTATAAATAGAGTACATGGTGTCAGTATCCTGAGGTATGCAAGACTCTGAAACTGGAGATATTTTTCCCTCTGTGTAGATCTCCAAACTGTCCCTATGCCTTCCCTAGTTCATATAAGACAAAGCAGTGCMAGGAAACCATTTTCCACCATGGCTTCGTACCCTGTCCCTTATAAAGTTATTAATACAGAGGCAGCCTTTAGGTTCTCTTCTCTGATCTTAACTTCTACCATGGGATTTTTTTKTCCTGAATACTTACAATTGTACATGAACTTGAAGTATTTTCTATCAGTACGTAACCTAAAAATATATTCTACAGAGCATGGCTTCATTGGCTGTTCCCTCAACAGCTGGRCTTCAGGTTGGGGAGGCCTTAACTCTAGGAAGTCTGCTAAACTTTTGGAAGGAATGAAATTTAAAGCTGTGATCAAGCATTGTCAGAGTTTTGCCCCATMTGTAACAATGTCCATCTCTTCCTAAGTTCCCTTAATTTCCTGTCAATAATGCTGTTCCTAGATGGCTGTGTCTTGAGAWAGACCTTACCTTGACTACCTGCATGCCAAAGGTTCTTTAGCCAAGATAACTGTCTTCAAAAAWTTTATTTCTTTCATGCCATATATCTGAAGACCCATAAGTAGGTTGGATGGGAAGTATAGTAGGAGCAATATCTTGTCATGTTAGTTGAAGGTTTCAGGTCTTATACACTTTTAACACATCCAGGCCAGCCATCATCAGACTTTTTCTGATGGCAAGCATTTCAAGCAGTTGATTTTTGGATGGATAAGAGACATCTTCGGGATTCCCTTTACCATACCATGAAGTCCTTSTTTCCAGTTTGTCTAAATGTAGGTCTGCCCCACCCACCTAGTGAGATGATAGGACAAACTGGAGGATACCCTTATTTTGAAAGGTTGGCCTCCTTATCTCATGGTCARAGAAGTTTTGGACCTTCTTTGGAGGTAGACTGAAAAAAGTTTCTGCAAGTTCAGTTCAGTTCTTAACAGGGTAGCCAGTTCAGTTTAGCCAGTTCACTTACACTAGCCACTGCCTCTTGCATCTGGTGTGGCCCCTGTGCAGCACACACATGTCCTTCCTCTGACCTTCTCTTGTCTGCAGTTAAGCCAGTCACATGCTTTGCCATGGACACTGAGTACCCAGCCATGCCAACAAACCAGCATTACCTAAAGCTGGAAGTCAAAGTGTATCCGCCCTCCATCTCTTCCTGAAATGGCTGAGTTCCATGTAGAAGCCTCAGGTTTGCCTTTCAGAAAGCCTTCTTAGTGCTTTCAGCTGGCTCTTCCTTCTTATATTGTCTTTGCCTAGTCCAAAAATCAAGGAATTTGATTTTGATTTGATCAAAATTCCATGCACACTGCCAGCCTGTAGTTGTCAGTTTTGCTGCATCTTCCTGGCTGGCACTTAGCAGAGCCTCYCAGCTAACAACCACAGCAACAATTAACCCCTCATCTCCAGACCAGACTTCTGTGGCTCTTAAAAACTGAGATAATCTGCGAGCTGGCAGACAACTGTGCTATGGATAAGGAGTAGGGTAGTTACATATGTGAAGGATCTGCAGCTGTCCACACAGAAGCCAGATATAGTTAACTTTGCCCTTTTTTCTGCCTCTGGTAAATGAGGATTTGCTACAAGTGTACATGCATAGCACGTTAGGGGTTTTTCCTTTTTCTTTCATACCAGCATTTTCGGATGGCAGTGGACAATCAGTCTAGCTGCAAGTGGCTAACTTTCATTCTGAGCTGACTTCCAGAAAACCAGCAGTTGAGGCACTACAAAGAAAATAATGGACTCTCAGATGACCAGAATTTCTCCTTGTGACTTTGTCACTCACATCTCAATACGGATTGTCTGGCAAGCTATAAACTAAGTTACTGTGKTTATTGTAGCAAAGTTCTGAGTTGCTTCATTGTTGAAGATAAGGGTTGGCTTTTTCAGTGGAGCTTTGTAAAGCCACTGGAAAGATCAAATTTCACTGGTCTCAGTTATGATGGAGCTGAAGCCATTTTGCTTCCTTCAGATTTACATGTCATTCAGAGTGAAGGTGATGCCTAAATACATCAGTGACTGTAAGGTGAAGGGACTYTTTTTCAAGTTGGACATAAAAAACCCACATATTTTTCATCCATAATGTTACCTTGTCTGATCTGCTTACTTTGTACACTGCTAACCTCTGATAAGTATTACAGTCTTCTAAAGGTTTGTCTGTCCAAGATAAAAACACAGTGAGTTACATCATCAGTCCTGTCAGCAGAATCTGTAGAATTCCTTTGCATCTTGGTGGCCTCTGCAAGTAAAGGGTTGTGGGAAGGTGAATTCATCTTCAACCTTGAAATTTTAATGCTGTGATGTTAACCCTGGTTGGCTGGGTCATGTGCATAGACCTGCTGTTCTAAAACTTTCAGAGATCGAGGAAAAGTCTTTGCAGATGCCCTACATGCATTCTGTCTTTTAATACCACTAAGTTTGTGCTGTGATATTGCAGTCTCTGGAGGACTGGAAGTTGGTTTCTCAAATTCTATCTCTGGAATGTGATTTTGTCAGGAAATGCAATACTCAGAAGGCAGGGTGTATGAATTGCYAAGATCTGGGCAAAGTTGCAAAGACCTGAGGCACCCAGCCTCTTAAAAAGCATAGAAATGCTATTAATATTGCAAAGATCACGAGATAGGGTTGTTTATCTCCGATTTTAACCAAGTACCGCATTCTTTTTCCARCAAGCACTGGGTCAGTTCTATCCAGGCCCCATTAGTGGACCAGCTAAGGTGGTGCCAAACTGTACTGCAGCATCCTGCCACAAACAAGCTTGAAGTTTATTGCACCCAAGTTCTCATGCACAGATGACTTTTTCCTCCTTAACAGAACAACAGAGCTTTGCTTTTCAATTCCTCTAAMTTTAATGTTGCTGGGTGACATCATTTTGCTGACTGAATTTTGTAGTTGGTTTTGCAATAGCAGCAAYACAGTTTCCTTCCATCACTTTGTGGCATATGCATCTAAAAAGCCTTCATGCTRCCAATGGATGGATTCTGGTTACAGCTTGTACTTGGATCATGTTTTCATTTGAATATTCAATAGATGCAAGAGTTTGACATACTACTACAGTAGTCTTAATTCAAGGAAGACTTCACAAGCCTGTCAATCTTTCAGCACTTAACTAAGTTATTTACATGCTTACATTTATGAGATATCTTAAATAAATTTATAAATAGAACATAAAGTGCATGAAAAATCTCAAAATGTTGCTGCAGACCTAAAAATTGCAATATAACTGAAAATCCAAGATAAAGTTCACAGAAYTTCAGCCCTCAAGTGAAGTAACTGCTAGTTCAGGGAACCAGCTCTTTGTTTTAAGTCATACCAGTCAGTATTAATATTTTTAGAGTGCTGGTTATCACTTCAAAACAATTACAGAGAGATTTTTAAGAGCATATATTAGAACTAGGCCTCTAAATAATAGATTTCATTAATTCATCCATCTACCCTAGGTATGCTGAGTTTCCAAGAAAAACCTGTGCGTGTACATTCTGATCAGGTTATTCCTTTCCGGTTTAAAAAACACACATTTGAAATACAGACCATTTCACTAACTATGTGGAAAGACAGAAGCACTGTCTGGGACATCTTCATCCCCATTAGAGATGCAGAAAGAGAAAAGAAAGCATTCTATTTTTATTCAGAGCTACACTGTCAATCTTCATGAAATCTACCTTTTTTTGAAGGAACCTATAAGGGTTCATAATTTAGGCAGTAACTAGTAAATAGCAGAACTATATYCCTGTAATCTGGTAGAACAGATTACAATTGAAATGCACACACAGGCAGAGTAAATGTATAAAGCTAATGAGGATTGGAAGGAATAACTAATGTCTTAAGTCTTTACTGCTTAGTTCCTTTTGTCTTCACAGATGCCTCAGGTAATAGGGATGTCTCAGTACAAGAGCTTCAGGGCAAGTAATGTATTCTTGAGTGTGTCATGCCTGCCACAACAGGGCTTTTACCAGTGCATAGCATTGCCTTTAAGGGTAGAGAGAAAACAGAAGTTTAGAATTCCAGGTATTTAAAAAAATGAAAGAAAACATCTAAACTTCTTACTACTAGTAAAAAAGACTACAGAAAAGCATACCTGAAAATAAATACACCACTGAGTAGTGGTACACAGTAAGAGCATTTTGGGATATTCACACTATTGCTTTTGAGACTTAGAATCTTCTTGTAATTGCTTGCATCCTTCCAACCGTGTRTGCTATTAGGGTGGTTGAAAAAAGGTTCTTTCCTGAGATACCCACCCCAATCCACATGAGACACTTTACTGAACAAACCACAGTTTGACTAAACAGCAGCAGGAGATTAAAAAAAAAAAAGTCCTAAAAATCCAAGATAGCAGATGGTAAATCTCAAATTGCATGCTTTAAGTAACAAGTATGTGCCTYGAAAGGAAAAGAAGCTTGCACCTAAAATTATACCGTGCTGTCTGCTTTCAGAGCAAAAGGACATTTTGGGACTKTTTTGTTTGTTAATAAGAGATACTTTTTCTTTGCACTTCGTCTAATGACAGTTTTGTTCTTAAGCTGCTATTAAAGGGCACTTTATATTTGGCAATCTGGATAGCAGAGATGAGGACATGGCATTATTCCTTCATTTTGCCTAAATGTTTTAAATTTTAAATTTTTTTTAGCTTTTAATAGTGCTTACAAAGTAAGGGGGGARGGGGAAGAAGAATACATGTACTTGAATCAGGTTTGGTTTAGACCACATAGAATAACACATTAGAAAAAAAAGGCAATTACTTAAAAATAGTTGTATTTATATTCCACAATCTGCTCAAATACTGTTTGTTGGGTTTTTTTGTGGGTTTTTTTTTTTTTTATAAACTTTCTACACGATGCTTTAAAACAAGTTCTTCACATTGTTTTAACTATGTACTTATGGAATTTGAGGGAAATAGTTCTGGTTGTTTTTACAGTTTAACACATATACAGTACCAAAAGGATGGTGGTTAGTCACATGCAGTCCATATGAGATTCTAACATAACATTTAGTGAATTTTCTGATGTTGACCACCCCTTTGATGCTGAAGGTAATGCATCTGTGGAAAGCAGGGACTGTAGATTTGGGTTACTGCTCTCTGCATCTTCCAGTTTTTCAGTGTTGTCCTCCCAATTAATGTGGAATCTTGTGACTCTGGGATTAGATGCCAAAATATTCCTTTGAAGCTGGGAAAGAAGAAAATATATGGATTGTAATGTGTACATCTCAAACTGGAGCTCATACAAATACAGATTTTTTTTCCTTTTACTCCCCATCGCCTTGTTTGAGTAAAACGATTTGTTTAAAAAGGGAACTCACATTAATGTGAATCTATAGCTACTACCTATGGATCAGAAATCTGCTTACAGTACACCACTTYCATTTTCCCTATATTCTATTCTGCAAAACAACCACTCTCTCAAGAAAATATTTTAACTGTTCTAGAAGGTCAAGGCTGTGAAAGAGATCTGCAAGTAAAGTGCAAGTATTTATTATTTTATTCAGCTTTTAGTAAAGCAAGTAACTTCCACATTCATAAGGATTTTACAAACCACAGTACTTCATCAAATTTTGCATCAACTTCATGATACTTGCAATACCWATCAGTATCATCAACTTCTCATCTTCATTTAAAAGTACAACCTATGCTTAAACTACCAAACTTTAAACTAAGTTTAATTACTAAGAGGATTTTTACRAAAGTTCTAAAGTAAAAACATTTCTATTTGGAAGCTACTAACACTGTGGCAGTGAACATGATAAATCACCTATCTTATTCTCATGGYTGGCCTTCAGTTGCCTTTGAAAACATCTTGTATTTATTAATGTATCTAGCCAAAAAAGAAAATACTCCTTTTCTCTTTGTTTTGAAAAGGAGTGAAGGTTTATATATAGTTATCTGAAGGATGGCAACTTAGCACCAGGAGACATTCATTATGACACTTAAAACTCATCACAGGAAAAGTTTGCTTTGTTGATTTTATTTTACAAGAAAGTGTACTTTCATGAAGTATTACCTGACCCCTTATGCAAGCTAAAAAAGACCAWTTCTTTTTTAGGACCTAGTAGGGCTTATTACCCATTAATCTCTTTAATAACCTACTTGTGCATTTCCATTTTGTCCCAAGGTCACATTAAGGACTCTGTATTCAACACGATATATTTTTTACTTAATCTGTATACTTCCTTTGTCGAAATGTCCATTCATCAGACAATCATCCAACCAGGCTACCCATGTTCTCTCACTTTACCCCTAACTTGTTCTTCAGTTCATTTGTTACAGTTCTGCAGAAACTGACACTAGAACAGCTGGGTAACAACTGTAGTAAATAACTGAAACTTAGTGCCAGGTTGATGGTTCTAGCAAAACATTATTTATTTTTTCTGAAGAACAGAGCCACTTTGTCAATAGTGGCGCAGGTGGAAATAAATCCAACAGTTTATTTCACATCAGCGTGAAATTACAGGCAAGTCTTCAGCATGGTGGAGATTCTGAATAGTTTCTCAGTGTTATCCAAATTTATGACAACTACATGGCACTTGTAGTTTGTCCCTCCAAGTATTTTCCACTATTTGACGCCTCATTCCACRCACTTTATGAAATCGCTTGAGGTTTGGTTTTGCTTTTTAAAAATCTCTTTCATTAAGCATATCTCCTGATACACGACTAGAACAAAACATGCCTTACCTTAGAAAAATCTGGCTTTACTGGTGGATTCTCTCTCAGTTCTGTTTCAGTGTATTCATTGTTTACATAGTAGCCGACTCTAATAAATTCTTGACCTCGGTAAGTGCAAGTAATCAGCACAACTGTGACTCCTACTGCATCTGCATCTGGAATAAGCCCTGGGTTAGGTGCATCAGCCTAAATGTGAAAGGGAAAGATAAATTAAAACTTATACCACATGCCTACCTAGCAGAGGAATCTCAAGCAGTGTGTTTTAGCAGCTAARTAGTGACTATATTTAAAATTGTTAACCAGAAAATAAACTGCTTTCACAACATCAACCCTAGATTTAGAACACCATCCTCTAAAGACAGAATTAGAGTACAGTAAAATTGTTTGCTGACATTTCTCATGGGCAATTGGACAGGTGTGATCCAAAACTGCTTTTAAATATATGATCAGCTGAACCATTGTTTAAACAGGGGTATCAACATCACTCCAGTTTTACCGTGCCATTGTTCTCCAGCCCATCTTGGCAACTTGGTAAAGCAAGATTATTTTCTTGTATACCCTCAAGGGTGAATTAGTCTATATGTGTGTTTTTAATAAAATTAAATCCTTAAAACTTCAGACTGCAAGTTATACTTCAGCAAGAAAGGGGATAGGCTATGGTGAGGTTTGAGCTGTTCTACATATTTCTAGGATAGGAATGAAGTACTTTTTCTGGCTTCATTCCCAATACCTATATTTGTTAAARTTTATGCAGTTAAATGCATCATCTCTCTAAGACACTTGACTATTTTTAGCCAGTATGCAAACCTAATTAATAAGCAACTGATATAATCTACCTYGGTGTCTTTACTTACCAGGGCTCTGTAGTTATTTATCAATAAAATCTGCCTCGTAAAATGTGGCTCACATCAGTCCCTTAAAATGCTTCCCAACTAAACACCTATTGATAAAATGTGATGCCTGATTCTGCTGCAGGATTTAAAGTAACAGCAATACAGGCAGAGAAAAAAAACAGCGTCATATTTACAATTCCAGGTGAGGATCTGAAGTCAACAATAAACACCCATGTTGTGAGAACAAGTTGGTATTAGTAACGTGTGTTTAGATGGCTTGGGTGTAACAMGCCTTGCCTAAGGACAGAGGATGACTGGAATTAATTACTGTTGTCCCTCTCATTCCTACTTTTCTGTAGTATTTACATGCTCCAGCATGGTGAAATTTGGGAGCTACTGYTCATGCAGCATTGGCTTCTACTCTTTGCCACTTTGATTCAAGGCAGTCTGGCTTTTTGTGAGAAGMTGTAGACACTTTGCAGAAGTGAGTCAGACCTCTCAAGTACAAAKACACTAGAGGGATGAGAAGAAATCAGGGAATAAGGTAGAACTGATCTTCCTCTAGGCCTGAAGGAAATAGAAAATGATGGAATGGCTTYACAACTAGCATGGGGGAATGGAAAAAATGGCCAAGGAACAGAATAAATGCAGAATCTTGAGAAAATCACAAGAACTGCCAATGCAGATTAAATCATTACTTCAATTCACTAGTCTTGTTCTAACTGCCCAGAACTATTAGATCACTTTAAATTCCACAGTAATGGGCAACAAAGGGACCCTGTTCCATTTAACTCCCCATTAAACYCAACTCACATCCTAATGTAGGATCTTAGTTTTCCAGATTCCCATTGTCATTTTCTGTCTTCTAATATCCTATGACACAGTTCTGAACCCAAGGAAATACTCTGTTCTAATCCTACTTAACTCTCATGCATTTTTTGCTGCACGAAAAAGACACTGGAGGCTGTTTAAAACAGTTTTCTCAAATTTTCAACTTCCTGTTTTTGATACCAAACCTCTTAATTACGCAGGAACCAAAACATCTATACAGGTGGAAGAAAAAAAGAACTTTGTATGACCAAATGATAAATAAGCAGATTATCTGCAAACAGATATTTTGATGGGCAGAGACAATAGATTAATTCTTGCATAAAAATCCCTGTCTTAATATGCTATTCTTATGTGATAAATTACTTAAGAATTTTATTAAATCAGCCATGTATATGTTGTCTGAAATYACCTTGCTTTTCCACATGATATTTATTCACATAGCTATTACTGCAAAGTAAGCAGCAAAGRTTATAGGCCCACTTAAGGATAGTTAATTATTTATGTACTTATATGCTCAAAAAAAAATCKGTGATTTTATTACARATTCCCAAGTGCATRGACAGAAGGAATCAGGTTTCATTAYATATATCTTGACATTTAGAAACAAATAGGCCAAGCTCTGGGCCTTTAYTACTGAAACCCTTTAAAACATAATGTTTTGGGGTTTTAAAACAAAAAGCTGCTTATATAAGTCCAAAAAGCACAATAATTGTCCATCTTTCTYTAAGGCTGAATTCCCAACTGATCCACAGCTTCTTTTCATCTAAGGTAGTATTTTTATCATCCTTGGTAATCTATCTTTATGGTACTCCATTTTAGTTTCTATTTCAGCCATTTTCCTATCTAGAAAAATCTACAGTGTATTATCTAAAAATTTTATACTCCTCTGCAAAGGTCCTTTCCTTATGCTATTCCCCATGAACACGATCTCTTTCCTCTGTATCACATGCCCCCTGCAGTTCTGTCTTTTGCCCCTTTCTTGCCTTTCCTTGTTTGTTTTCTCCATATCCCAGGCTGCTTCAGCTTAGTGAATGAAATTGCTTCAGTTATCAGCAAAGGCTTCGTGCAGCACCCTGGGTTTTAGTGGTCTTCTGTGCACCCATGAGCTGAGTCCTGCCTTCACCTGATATTCAGAGCCTTTGAAGCATAACATAATCAGACCCAACAGTACTTTCATAGGAAATAAACAGGATATTTTAACAGTCATCTCTTACAGAACCTATTCCAGTCTAAGCAAAACCTCTACATATCTCTTCCTAATTTAGCTGTAGTGTCATTTATAACCAGGATACAGTTGCTGAGACCATTCTACAGAAACTGCAAGACCAGTAAATTTAATTTGAGATCTTCCCAGTCACACAGCCAMAATATGCCTTTTTAGGCACCTGCTTCCTCCTCCTTCCCATCACCARTGAATCTTTGGACCTTTGACTGAGAACAGTACATTTTTTAAATTAGAAATATAAACACCAGCTGATTTCCCAGCATACAAGCACAAGGTAGCCCCTTTGAGWGCAATAGAGAATCACCTATTGCTGACCAATTAATGCCGTAAGCTGTAACGGCTTGATAATGGAAGAACTGTTAATAAAGGATGCATTTGTTACACATCTGCTTTATTTGTAGTGTGGAAAAATTAGGCCTGGCTCCAAAACCAAACAGGAAMATTTCACCACTGATTTTCATGTATATGGTTGATAAATGCAACCAATGCAACCTCCACTCAACCAATCCTACTCCTTTAGCCTGTCCTTTCACGGAAACAAAACAGAACAAAAAAGCCCAAAAAAAAAAAAAAAAAACCACCACCCCAAAAAAANACCACCCCAAAAAAACAAACACCACTTTTCCTGGAACTTACAGGATTAATCAGGATGTCACACAAATGCTGATACTATTTCAAAACAGTTAGAATAATGATGTGAAATAAGGGAGTGTATTCAGCAGCATGCTGGGGTTTTTTAATGCTTGTACTTCGGCATGCATTTGCCATTAGTTAATTGAATTTACAGTATTTGGGAAAATAGCAGGGTTCTTATAGAATAAGGCATACTCAGTTTCATCTGATTTTTTCATCCAATGGATTTTGCTCTCAGTTTACAAGAAAAATTCTGATATTTCATAGAAAAAATGTGGTAGTTTTAATAAAAATTATAGTTTTGAATTAAAAAAAAAAGAACAACAAACAATAAACCCCACCACCACAAAAGAAATCATCCCAAACAAAACAAAAAGCTTCTGTAAGAATTCAGGCAAGTCTACCCCCACACCCTCACTTCTGAGTTAAAATGGAAACAAGACTAGGCCAGTAAGCCATCAGAGCTGCTCTTTCCCTGTTTTCATTATTCCTTATTAACTTTTGACTTTAACAGCAGTATTTTAAAGRTCTGTCACATGCTCTAGACTTTTTTGTGCAGTCTTGAGCTACACACTTGTGTCCTAAATGCCTCCCACTTACCACTGAATTTCTATCTTTATTTTAGAAATCACTGTATTTTGTTATGATTTAGCGTGTTTAGCCAAACATCATAGTTGAACATGTGTCCTGATAAACAGAAACTAACTTCTTGATTGTTTTGGATGAGTTTTACAATTCTTTTGTTGGCCTGATCTTCTCAAGGTGTTGTCTACATTAACCTAGCATTCCTGATTGCCTGAAACTGCCACCAACAGCAGAAGAGGTGAGCCTGATGGTGCAGGTGTAAACCAGGCAACTGGCACTACTGAATAMAAACCAGACTGGTTAAAATTATCAGTAGCTATGGGAACTGTGCTATACCACTAATTATTGGTACTACAAATAAAATATATAACCAAGAAATATCAGGGGCAAGAAGTACAAACTCAAGAACATGCTTCAAAGGAAGGTATATCATGCCCGAGGAGCTCACTGAAGTATTTTTTCTAGCTTACCATTATTTTTCAGGTGCCTCTTAGTCTGATACAGTTATGCCTAAACAAATTAACACAACTCTTTTAGAAATGGTTAAATCAACCTTACCTGAAATACAAACATGTGTCTCCCCGCTGGAACAGGTCCAACTAAAACAGAGTCTAACACCTGATCATACTCTTCACTTTCAGCTGAACCCACATAAATTATTTTCCATTCCAAATCTACAGCAAAACAAAAGAATAAAATAAAAAATAACAAACATTAGTTATCTTTACAGTAAGGAGTCTTCCACTCTTGCCCATCTACAGTTTTGCATAGCCTCAAATTGCTTCTTTGGCAACAGGCCTAAAATAACAAGCACCTGTCTTCATGAGGGAGATTTACTGATGCCTGACCCTGTTTTTATTGAACCAGATCACCCCACTTTCTGTCTTTAGTCAGTTGTACCACAGAATCCCTCTACTTTCACGGTGAGGTCAATTTTCAAATTTTATACAGAGAATGGGGCCCATTTACTAATTGGGAGCTGTGTTGAGCATCTTCTCCAAAGTCTGTCAGAATGGCTACAGCAGAGGGATGATGCCTATAACTCAGCACATCTTTGAATACTGACTAACCTCCCAAAACCAAAATTCCCACCTTCCACATACACACCTCACAGCTTCAATTACACAAATCAGGGAAAGTAGTTAATTGAGTAAGGAAACCTGCTGGGTAAGCTCCAGGCGCACTAATTGTATGCCCCAATTCCTTCACATGTCACTTGTKTTACCTGGGAAGTACATAAAATTGTGATAGCATGACTAGACCATATTCTTAAAGAGAATGGTGCTTGAATTTTATCTACGTCCTGAAATGGAATAATAGACAAAATTCAATGTAGGATTTTGCTTTTTCAAATAGTGCAATAAATCCCAACATTTACTATAATTCAGTTTTTTTCTAACTCAGCCTGCCCCCCCCACAGTGTGTTCTAAAGTTGAAACTGCAAATTAGCCCAAACTAGCTCTTCCAGCTTTTCACCTTCCCTTTTTGATTCAAAAACAWTATGTATTTACACATATGAAACTAATCTTACAAGACATATTTTGTGGTTTTAAAACAAAAGTGAAAAAAATCGCCATTACAAAAACTATGAAAAACATTTTTTTCTTAATTAAGCTGTTGTTTCAGAACTGTACCTTAAAAGCTTCTGTGGTGTATTTCTTTTTTCCCTCCTTTTGAACCTCCTTTCCTCCCTTATTACCTTTGCAAAAGCACAGACCTGTATCCATTTACTTGATTAGTACATTTTGCAATATTCAAAGGTCTGCCTCAYGGTTTCTGGATGCAGAAATGGAATTTAAGCATAGAAAAAAAAAAGAGCACTTGAACAGAACTTGGCTGCTTTAAGATTCCAACTCTTTCCTCATTAGTGAAGTCTTCTTGCTTATGATGTTTACCATCAATGCAAGTTTTTCGAGTTTAACTATCATAATAAACAGGGTTTGGGAAGGGATTTTACTCCTGTACAACACAGCACAGTTGCCCAGGTCCTGTATCAAAGGTTTTATTTACCTTCTAAGCATGAAGTACTAGCTGTTGCCAGTACTGTAGGATACTCATCCAGGATAATTAAGAAGCTTTCTTCTCTGTATCTGAGAAGAAGTTACTATTTACAAGAAGTGAGGACTTTCAGGCTAAACTGATTATCACATCATCCTGAGCCATTATTCTAGAACAGTRTAAAGCTCATTCTAAACAAGTACTAGTATTTAGTATGAAAACTGGACTGTTTTAAAGTTATTTAAGTACCTTGATACAGGACAACAACTTTAAGAAGAGGGCTGGAGTTCATTAATTTAATTTTAGATCAGTGTTGCAGAGGATGAGCTGAAAACAGCACAGTAAACAGACATATTAGCACGGGAAAGCTAAGGCAAWGAGTTTTCATCAAGTATACAAACGCCGTGTTTATTCTTATTTTTAAATGTGAAAGATAAACTTTTAATTTAGCCTATAGTCTAGTTTTCGTTTTGGTGGGGGAAGCAAGCTGAAAATTCTGCACTGGACCCTCTGTAATTCTTCTCATCAATATTGTCCAGGATTAACTGTAACATAAATCCAGAGTGTGAGGAGCACGTAACATACAGCTGTGCACCACTGTGAGGAAAAGCCTTGCACCGAGCCCCTGTGACGGGCATTGCCGCCGGCCAGAGCAGGGGAGGGAGAGGGTCCRATGCTGTACTTCAGACAGGGCCAGGTTGACTGGAGAGATCCTGCCAGCAAGGTGGCGACGGGCATGGAGCACAGCTCCAGCTGATGTGTCGGTCAGTTGCAAAAGGGCAGGAGACAGGCGGCGGAGGCCTAGAGGAAAGCCCTGGCTCAGGCGAGACTTCCTCTAAAGTTCCCGCCACGGCCGCCGTCCCTCCCGCCCTCCCTCCCGCGCTGTCACCATCCCGCCGGCACGCACGAGTACGCGGTGCTGCAGAGGCAGGCGGGGTGAGGCGAGTTAAACCGCAGCGACAGCGAGCCTGCCAGGGCACCTTAGCCAAAACAGCACCCAACTCCCCTTCTCCTCGGCACCCAACTCCCCTTCTTTCTCCTCGGCCCTGCCCTCGCCCCCGAAACCGCGGGGCTCCCTGGCGAGCAGGCGGCGCTGGGCTCCGCCGAGTGCCAGCCAGGCAGTGTCCTCTCCCGCTCACAGGCTGCCCTGCTCCCGGGCAGCAGGCGCTGTCCGGACCCGCCGGCGGGCCGGAGCGCCCCGCATTGCCTCCCTCGCCCGGAGCCGTTTGAAACTCCCGCCCGCGGGGCGACGCGCGGCCTCTCGGGGTGCGTCCCACGGCCGGCCGAGGGGCGGCGCTGCGGAGCGCGGCCGGGGCGAGGGCGGCTCGCGGCCCGCCCGGCTCGGGGGAAGGCGGGAGCGCGGCCGAGGCCCTGGCTCAGGACGAGGGTCCCCGCGGAGTGGCGAAGCCGGGGCCGCCCCTCGCCCGCTAGCAGCTGCCGGTAACTTTCGAGTGACTTCCAAAAATAGTGACAGGCGGGCGGCCCCCTCCCCCCCGGCGGGGCTCCCGCAGCCAGCGCTCCGCTCCGAGCCGTGCCCCCGGCCCCGCGCACCCACCGCAGCTGCCCGCTGCCGGCACGCGGGGCCAGCCAGCCCGCCCGCCACTGCCTCCCACCGTGATTTTTCAAAAAAAAAAAAAATTTTTTTTTTAAATTATTATTACAATGGAGCACGAGGCCAGCGAAACGCGTCCCCGCGGAGCGTTTTCCGCGCTCCGAGTACCGCCGGGGCTGCACGCGCAGCATCCCGTGTGCCCGCGGGGATGCGCGGCCGCCGAGCCCGGTTCAACCCTCCTCTCTCCCGCTCGCTCCCCCCACGCACACACAAAGCTGGCAACATGGCTACCTCCACTCTAACAAGTTCCTCGCAACTTGCGGCAGCTCGCCGCCTCGCCGATGGCGGGGAGAGGCGGCGGGCCCGGCTCGGCGCCCAGGGCGGGCGGACGCCGCCAACTTTCCCCGGCGCCGGGCTCGGCGGGAGCGGCACATCCCCTCTCCCGGCCGGCACATCCCCTCGGCTCGGCACGGCGATGCGGCCGAGGAGGAAAGACTGTTAAATTGGAGGCGAAGGCCTGTGCAAAGTTTAAGCCTTAAATGCCCCGAGCTCAGAGCCCCGGGTTGCAAAATCTGTATCGGGGAGAAAAAATCTACTCACCTTCAGACAGGTCCTCTATGCACTCGAATGTGATTTCGAACTGGAAAGGATTGTAGAAAGGAGAAGGATTATCCAACACCACTACATTGTTCACCTGAACCTTTGCCATATTTTGGAAAAAAACACAAACAATAGGCAGAGCGTGTTAACGCCGCGCACTAAAGTCCTCCGTGCCGGGCTCCCGCAGCGCACAAGCCCCCGCGCCGCTGCCCGAGCGAGGCTGCAGGGCGGCGACTTCCACAAACTTTTTTTTTTTTTTTTTTTTTTTTTTTTTTCACCCACTTTTTGTGTGTTTTGTATCTATTCTTTTCTGTCGGCTGTCTGGCCAACAGCGACACCCTTCCCTTCTGACTGATTTTTTTTT